GGCGGCGGCGGCGGCGCACGCCTGTAATCCCAGCACTTGGGAGGCAGAGGCAGGTGGATCTCTGTGAGTTCGAGGCCAGAGAGATTTCCAGGAAAGGTGCAAAGCTACACAGAGAAACCCTATCTTGAAGCCCCCCCCCCCAAAAAAAGAGTAGAAACTCAGCCAAATGTGGCAGTATGTACATGTAGACATGGTATATGTATACACATACAGGAGGATCACTTGAGCCCAGGGTGACAGTGAGACCATGTCTGTATCTATAGATAGATAGGTAGATAGATAGAAGACAGATACTTGATAGATAGATAGATAGATAGATAGATAGATAGATAGATAGATAGACAGATAGACAGATAAACAGATGTTTTCATGGTTAGCGGTAATTGTCTATTTGACAGAATCTAGACTCATATGGGAGAGGGGCATCCAGAATCTAGACTTACCTGGGAGAGGAGCATCCCAGGGCGATTATCTTGACTTGGTTAATTGGTGTAGAAAGATCCATCTTACCTGTGGCCAGGGCTATTCCCCGAGCAAGGGATGCTGGCCTCTATAAAATGAAGAGCTTAACACCAGCATGCATTCACTTCCTGTTCCTTGCTTTGAATACAATGTGACTAGCTATTTGAGATTCAAACTTCCTTGACTTCCCCACAATGGTAGATTATACCTTGAATTGTGGGCCAAAATAAATCCTTTCTCTCTTAAGCTGATTTTTTTGGAGTAGGGAAAACTGAGAGAGGCAAAAACTCTAACAACATCAAAATGGCTTGATCCAAATCCAGATTCTGCCCATCTCTAACCTCTCTTTGCTCAGTTTCCAAAACTGAAAACTGGAGTTCTTCATCTTCATTCTGCTCAGTGAGCTGGGCTCCACATGAACTACCACATGAAAGATGCCCACCTGGACCATGTCAAGTGCTGTGTAAGTCCCTGGGAAACAAGGTGGACAAGCTGTTTACACTTCCAGGGACAGGAGGAGGAGTTGTGCTTAATAGTGTAATGAGTCATGGAAATTTTATATAAATCTTTGTTTGAGGTTAATTTCATAGAAAGGAAGATTTGAGTATGATTTCCTGATTGGTAGAACACTGTTTCAGTTTATGGAACAAATAGTCAATAAGCCCAAGAGAAAGAGAGTGCTTTCTTGGCATAATTTATCCCCATATATTCTCTTATTTTCCAGTGATGAATTAGTATTATCAAGTGAACTTTCATAGTGACAATAGGTGGCTTCTGGGAAACACACACATACCAGAGAGAAAGAGAAAAAAGAAAAACAACCCAAATCAGGAAGGAACCAAAGGAGGTTGTGTGAACTGCCCTGCAGGGTTCCTTGGGTTTTCCTCTGAATGCACCCACAGTCCAAATGACACCAAGTAGATCCAGCTCAAGACTGGTCAAAACATCTCGATGGGAAGCCTAGGTGAAGCCCACAGAGACTTAGAATTTCAGGGTGTCCCAGAAAAGGAAGCCAGGAGAAAAGAACCCCAAATGTGCCTGTTCCTCTGCACACGTGGGGAGACTCACTCTTCTCACGCCTGTGTCTGTGTCTATTCCTCTGCACACATGGGGTTAGACTTGGAGAAACAGGGGAAACAAGTGAAGGGAACCCCTAGAGATTTCACCAGCCAGCTATATTAGGGAAGAGCTTAGAATATGACTCTCACCAAATTAGAAGTGACAGAAAATATCTCAGCAACTCCCCAAGTCCCAGAGAATGTCAAATGTAGAAGCATAAAGTATATCTCAAAACTAAGAGATTTTACCACAGGGGAACAGCAAAAGAGATTTGCCCAATCTAATACTCAACCAAGCTCCTGCAAAATATCAAGGGAATTTGCCTGTTATTTGGCTGTTGCTTTGAAAGA